AAAGCAAAATGTATGATCTTCAACAAACAAGATGGACGGAACAAAATCAAATGAAAAGAAGTGCAGAATCAGATGAGGGTCTGAAACAAAACGAAAGAAAGAATTGGGGACAAAAGAAAATTTATACGCTCAGACGTAATAAAATATAAATAAAGTAAATATACTGTAATCCCACTTTTTCTTGGCCCTCGGGAGTGTTGCAGCGCCGCTTAATCAAAATTAATAAAAATAAATCTAAAAATAATTATTAGCGGCGCTGTTAACTTCCTTTGTCTTTGCACCGCCTTAGGCTATCAATGTCCCCTTTTTTATCCTTTCTTTAATAATAATAATAATCATTTTTATCCATTTTCCGCAAAAAATGGAATTTATAGGAAAATTGTACATTTAAGTTCCCGTTTTGCTTGTGTGAAAAAATTATATTTATTTTTTATAAATAGGATCCGAAATTATTTTATAATAAGTTCCGCAAACCCAACTTGTTTGTTTTTAATGTTTGTACCCCAAATCATGCTATATAAGCCCCCCAAATATTATCTAAAATCAGTTCGTCCTTCCTCATGTAAAGAATTAATTGGCCTTATTATTGGACCTGCCTATTACTGCCCTGTATTGTATTTATTGCTCTGAATAAAATTTATTAAAAGAATTTGGCCTTATAATTGGAGTATATATTATTTTTATTATTAACGTGCGACTACATGCGGGTTTTTTGCTGAGATTATTTACTTCCTAATTCCACTCCCCATTCCATTTTTTATTTTTAAAATTTTTTTTAATTTAAGACAATCCAGCCCTGGACTTGTTTTTATTTGTGTCGAGCAGCTTGCTGTTGAGGTGGTTGCCTGGTCCTCTTTAGGGCCACAAATCTAATAAGTGAAATGTAGACCTTGTTCTTATTTATTTTTTGATAAATTTTTGTTTATTTGACTCATTTTTTAAAAAATTTGTTCCCCGAAAAAAAAAAGTCGAGACCAAAACTTCACCCTAAGCCAGAAAAAGCCTAAGAGAAGCCTAGAATTAAGACTTGGCTAGCTTTAAAGATGTTCTATAGATCGTAGAAAGTAAGAACCACGAAAAAAATCTACAAGAAAAAAGATTTTCTAGCCCAAAAATATACGTATACTGAATCGTCCCCTTTTCCACGTATACTGAATCGGCTATACTGAATCGGCGGATACTGAATCGGCGTAGACTGAATTGGCGATACTGAATCGGCGATACTGAATCGTCCCCTACCCCATTTAATCGCGAGCCACTTAGGCGCAGAATATTTAGGCATTTTTTTATAAATCCGTTACATTTAGTCTTTTAAAAAAATTATGTTTTAATTTAAGTTATTGTTTCAAATGTCTGACAGTAGTATCGTAAGTGATGAAGATGCTCATGAGGAGGTGCCGGCTGTGTCTCAATCCAACCAACAACAACATTCAGATGATTCTTCATCAATGTCGTCAACATCCTCATCAGATGCTGAACATGACGAGCAAAATTTAGATTTGAACTCAACTCATCCTCAGTCTGACCAACAACAATATCAGGAAGATGGAGAAGATGATGAGACTAGCGAAGTTAATCATGAACATCAGGTTTTAAAAAAAATTTTTTTAACCTTAATTATTTAATTTATTTCAAAAATTAATTTCGCAAGGACTAATTCAGGTCCGGGGTTCGAAATAAACAAATTCTAAGCTCATTGTCAGATTCGGACTCAGCATGGTCGATTACCTATCAAAATTATTTTCAGAAAAATAATTTCTAAGGTGTCTCCCGGATTGTAAATACATGATTGCCCTTTTTTAATTATCACTTTAATTTTCAAACTATATTTTTTCTGCTTTTTTTAACAGCCTGATGCTGAAGATAGCATCCCTGTAAATAGAGATGCTGAAGAAGAGGACGATGAGGATGGAATATTTACTACTAAAGATGATGACGAAGTTAGCGGTGTGCATGCTGTGGCTGAACATAATGATGAAGAAATGGAAGATGATGAAGTTGAACATCACGAGGAAGAAGATACTCAGGAAGATGTCCATTCACACCAGGATGAAGATGAAACTCATCAAGTAATTGCACGGATGGATGTTTCTGACGGTCTTTTTAGATTTGTAAAATTGTATTTTTAATAATTATATTTTAGATGAAGAACAAGAAGAAGAGGTTGATACTGGCCCTACAAAAATTGATTTGAACATGGCCCGTTGTAAAGTTGATTTAGGCGAGGAAGGGCCTTATTTTGTTAAACTGCCGAATTTCTTAAGTATTGAAACAAAGCCATTTGATCCTGAAACTTATGATGACGAAATTGAAGAAGACGAAACACTTGATGATGATGGGCGAACTCGTTTGAAACTTAAGGTATGTATAATTTTTTAGACATTGATCTGTCCGCTAATGTAATTTATCTGGCAACGAAAGTCAGTCATTAACTCTCACGAATTAGTCATTAACTCTCACGAACAGTTCGTGAAAGTTCCTTGCAAGATTGCACATTTTAGATCAAATAAACTAGATTCATCTTCTTTTGTCATATTTTTACTTAAAATTCTACCATTAACTTATTTTTAGCTGGAAAATACAATCCGTTGGAGAACGGTCCGAGATGAGCAAGGCAATGAGAAGCGCGAGAGCAATGCAAAAATTGTTCGTTGGTCTGATGGAAGGTAAGGATATAGAGATTAGCCCGATTTCCTCTAAACGCCGAAATCCCCATTTATCCCCCTGAAATCCTTACTCATCGTTACCTCTCTTTACTCATCGTTATCTTCAAAAAGGAACTCTACTGACCTCACCATATTTCACAACATAATATTCTAAGATTCTTTTAACGAAATATGTTTGTTCTCAAATAACTTATTTTCAGCATGTCCTTATATTTGGGTAACGAAATCTTCGAGGTGGATAAACAAAAAATTATGGACTTTAATCATCTTTATATTCGTCAAGGAGCAGCTCTGCAAGCACAAGCCGTTTTTGGCGAAAAACTTGTATTCCGTCCACACTCAACAGAAACTTTAACTCATCGGAAAATGACAATGAACATGGCTGAAAAAACAAGCAAGGCTCAAAAAGTTAGAATGCTTGCAAATGTTGGGGATAATCCAAATGCCCAACGAAAGGTTTAAAAATAATAGAATTCTTGTAAATCTGTAATTAAGGAAATGATTCGCTTGGAGGAAGAAAAGTTACGAGCCGCAGCTCGCCGTGAAGCACAGCAACGAAAAGGTTAATTATTTATTCATTTATAATATTTTTTAAAATTATTTTTAGTTCGTGAGCGACCAATGACTGTTGGACTCACATCTGGTTTCCTTGAGGGTTATGATTCTGGTATGTATAAATTAAATTTTAAAATTAGGAATAAGATCAAGGAACGGGGGAAAACTAAAAATGTTACGAAATTTATTTTTTCTTCAGTTTCCTTTTCGGCTATTTTTCTTCGAATTTATTTTAGAAATTTTTTTGCTCAAGCAAATTTCTAAATCTTGAAGGGTAGATGAGAGTTAAAAATATTTTTGTTTTAAGATGAGGCAGTCGATTCGCTAGCTGCAATTAAGAGAAGATATCAACATGCGCCATATGGAATGGATAGATATCAACGTGAGCGCTCTTTCTCTGAATCAGATGAGGAACAAGAAGAAAGGCAAAGGAAAACTATAAATGAGGCAAAAATTGACAGTGAGGAAGAGGAGGAAGCCGAAGAAGGTGTTGAGGAAATGGATACATCTGATACTGTGAGAAAAATAAAAATTATGAAAATTATTTTTAAATTTATAGGAACAAAGGCAGAAAAAGCAAGCACAACAGCAGAAAACACAGCAAAAACGTAAGATCGTTATTGAAGAAGATGAAGATTAAATTTAACAAGGGAACATTTCGAACTGTGAGTAAAAAGTTCGAAATAAAAGTTATACCATCGTGTAGAGCATCGTCGAAAACCTTTATGGTTTCCGGCTTTTTCGGCTCCGACCCCCATTTCGAAAAGTTATAGGTCTTCAAAGTTTTCGACTTTTGGAGCGGTTGAGTCGCCCTCACTTTTCTTATTATTTGTCTTACCAAAGAGAAAAATGAGACTCCTTTTCTCCATTTTTCCTTTCTTCTTCTTTTCCCATGTCGGTTAAAGAAAGAGAAAAAGAGGAGAGGAAAGAAAAGGAAAAGAGGCATGTCTGCCATTTCCTCTTTCCTTTTTAATTGACATTAGCTGCAAGGCAGAGGTGCCTCTTTAGTTTTTCTTTTCTCTCCTCCTTTTCTCTTTCTTTAACTAATATTGAAAAAGAAAAGGAAAGGAAAAAAGGAGGATGGGAGTCTTATTTTTCTCCTAATAAAAGAAAACTCTCTCTTTATGAGGGCGACTCAACCGCTCCAAAAGTCGAAAACTTTGAAGACCTATAACTTTTCGAAATGGGGGTCGGAGCCGAAAAAGCCGGAAACCATAAAGGTTTTCGACGATGCTCTACACGATGGTATAACTTTTATTTCGAACTTTTTACTCACAGTTCGAAATGTTCCCTTGTAAGTTATTTTTATGAATTTTTAAAAATATTTTTAAAGTTTTTTTACCCATTTGGTTTAATGTCTCGTCTTTTGTCAAATAATCAAAAGTTTTAATTCAAAGTTCAAGAAATTTAAAATATGCCCTTTGTGCAATAAAGACATTTTTGTGGTGATAAATACAGGGAGATTCACTGATTTCCCATTTTTTACAATCATTCCTGTTTGCCCCCAATTGTTCCCCTCCATCCTCTTTTTTCTAAAGCAGATTATTTAAAAAAAAAACTAAAATCTTGGCAGACGGGAAGACACAAACACAGCCACTAAATTAGACTATTATTGGCATAATAAAATACGAAATGAGCTAATAAATTTTTAGCCAATTTTCGTTTAATACTGGAAATCCTCTATATCAAAATGAAAATTCCGAGGTTTTGACTCCTTTAAAACAATTTAAAAATATAGTAGTGCTTAATGTTGGTTAAGTTATTTAAAATATCTAAGGATTATTCAATCTTTTGCTGTATTTTCCCGTTTTGAGTTGCAATCCGGTGTTGAGTGTATTTCTTTCCACCATTTGCTATATAGCTAATATAGTAGAAACGGAACCAAAGTAGAATATAAGTGACTTCCATGAAGGCCTATAAATATGTACATTTAGCTACTTTTTTAAATTTACCCCAATGGAAAATCCACGTTTAGTAACAGCATAAACTTTATTTGTATTAGAATAACAAAGCCAAAGCAAATGTCCCATTACAGCATGCGTTATCATAAACTAAATTGAGTTAGTATATAAATTTAAATGTTTGGAACAATTTGTAAGGGTTAAAAAATTCCTTTTAAATTACTTGGCAGATTTGTGCAAAAGTAAGTAGTTGAGCAAGTTGTGGTGGTACACGAATGCGTATTGCACGAGCACAATAATAAGAGTACACTGATAAAACAGATGAAAAATTTTAATAATTTTTAATTACTAAATGAATGAATAAAATAGTTAAGCCAAACAACCCAAACCATATAAGCATTTTCTTCATAAAAAGTAACAAAAGCAAAATAGCCCGTCAACGCGTGATGATACCTGGGTTTTAAAAATAATTTTAAATTTATTTTTAAATTTTTAACCAATGCATAAACATAAGTGGCCTTTTTCGTAACACAACAAAAAGTGTGTCAATAAGTTCTGGGATTTTAGAGACACACCAAGCAAAGGCCCAGTAGCCGGCATTTGGATCTTTTTGAAGTTCACCAATCTCAGTGTATGTATCTAGAAAGGATATTTTATTGTAAAAATTTTTGTTTACGTGTGATTCCTTTGTTCATAATTGCACTGATAAACGTTGGGGTAATCCTTATAAATCCGGCAATAGAAAATACTGCCAAAAGACCATTCCTGCAATGTTTTAGTAAAAATCGGCATTAATTTAATGAAAAGAATAAAAATTTCGTGTGAATTGTTGTGAATTTTGAGAAATGACCAAGAAAATTTTCATTTACAGTTTTTAAAGGAAAGATAAGAAAAAAACCAAATAATTAGTGGCATCTGAAGATCAAAAGGCTTTCGATTTGCCATAACAAATTTCAAAGAAAATATCGTTACAATATAAACAAAAACACATTTTAACAATAAACTTTCATAATCCATTAGCCATTGTTTGCTATTTTCGTAGTTATAATTCTCAAGAAAAATATTCATTTTTTATTTCAAAAAACTAAAATTAAATTACAAAAACAATTATCGATACTATTTTGAATCAATTTTAAAAATTTTTTGTTTTAAAATTTTAACTTAAAAATGCTTATAAAAACCAAGTAAATGAAAAGGAGAAAATAAAATTTAAATTAAAATAAAGACTAACTATATTTAATTATATTTTACTAATAAACATTCGATTGTCCTTAAATTTCTCACGTTATTTAACATTGCTTATCATTTACCAAATGTTTATGAGGTGGGACCATAATAGAAACATTTTTAATAAAAAACAAAGATCAAAGGAAAGTAAAAATTTTAATAAAAACTCTAAACTAAAAAAACATTTAATTTACTTTTAAAAATCACTAACAAAATCCCACAAATAATTTTCTAGTTTAAATTCCTCAGAAATTGAACGAGCTATCCTTTTTGCAAAATCTAATCCACATAATGAAAGATATTGAGGCAAATCCAGATTTTCTGCTGCACTGACAATTCTGAGTAGACCAACATCGACCAAATGGTTTATCTGAAAAGAAAAATATTTATTGTATCTTAATTATATTATTTTCTCAATCAAATAAATTTAAAATTTTTTGTGAAAATTTTGGGAAACGATAATTCGAAAGAAATCGATTCAAGAGAATAATTTATTTATATGTAGTTACAATTAGTCAAATTTAAATTAAAAATTTCGAAATAAATTAAGAAAAAAATATTGAATAAGACTACCTGTGAAGTAAAATCGATTCGAAAATCAGCGCCAAAATCCTCAAAAGCTTCTTCAAAATTTTTACAAAAAAAGAGAAAAATGAAGAGAGCTCGTTGATGTTCGAATGCACGTGGACCTTTCTCGTGAAACTTTTCTTTTGAATTCTTCCCTGAACCTTTGCGGCGTTTGGATGAAATATCAGCCTAAAAATTTTAAAAAATAACATGGGATCAAATGTCATTTTGATTATTTTTTCGGTCTCAAAAATTAACATTTTTTTCTAGATTTCAATTAAAGCTCAACCTTAAAAAAGAAACGTTGATCAGTCACTGCCGGATTATAACTAGCACAATAAGTCGCCACAATTGCAAAACGAGTTAGCAATGGAAAATCTAAAGAAGTATCTCTATTGTCGTCTTTATAATCAGGAAAGAATGCCGAATCTTCTTTGAGTGTTCTGCAAATTGGCTCAATTTTCTTTAAAAATGTTGGAGTAATGGTTGAATTTATATCGATCCCTTCTTTTTTACATTTTTCAGCAACAAAAATAACCTGAAAATTTAGAACATTATCTAGCAATTAAAACATAGTTGGACACGACCGATTAATGTTTCCCTGGGGCGCCTCAAAAGCACTTATTCTTCTCTACTTGACCCGCCACAAAAAATTAACCGATCTTGTCCAACTCTACTACAATTAAAATAACCATGTGTTTTAGAAGTTCAATATCATTATAATGAAGAATAACAGATTCGATAACATAATTAACAAATTGTTTAGGTAATCCAGTTTCTTTTGTAATTAAATCAACATCGGTAGTTTTGTTATTATTTTGTTGAATTGAATTCTGAACCCTTTTAAATAATTCATCTAATGGTAAATCCATTTAAAATTAGAAAAAAATTTTTGTCTTAAATACCGAAAATTTACAAGTTTTCCAAGAAAACCGTCAAACAAAAACCCAGAAAATTGTTTCCTTTTGCTTTTTCTGGTTTGAAAATTCAAACGGTAATTTTACGCGCGCTTAAATAAAAGGGCCGGTTTGTTACGAGATTTTAATAGGGAAGTTTTTTGGGTACAGCCCGAAATGTCGCGGGCCAAAATGTCGCGGCCGAAATGTCGCGACCGAAATGTCGCCGGCCGAAATGTCGCGAGGCCAAAATGTCGCCGGCCGAAATGTCGCCAAGCTTTTTAATTATTCTATAAAATCGAGTACAGGTATTTTGATTATATATGATCAATTAGAAAAAAGTAAACTTAAAAAACCTTGAAAAGTTTCACGACCAAAGACCAGAATACGATTATCATCTCCTTCTCCACTGTCTGCCAAAAGAAACTGTTCGAAGACTCCAGGCTCTGATTCATAACGTCTGTATTTGCCCGGTATTATCAGAATCTATCTATTTTCAGGAAAAATTAATCAGGTAGTGTTTTACAGAATATTTAATTAAAAAACTTGGTATTTTAATAGTATTTTATACAATATTTAATTAAAAAGCTTGGCGACATTTCGGCCGGCGACATTTTGGCCTCGCGACATTTTGGCCGGCGACATTTCGGTCGCGACATTTCGGCCGCGACATTTTGGCCCGCGACATTTCGGGCGTGTCCCAAGTTTTTTGTTGAAATTTTCATAATTTTTAACTAGCTGTGGGTTTGACCACTGATGGCGGAGGATAGCTGTGTGCCTTTAAGATACTTTGGGTCAAATTTTGTTCTACCCGTTGGAAAGCCTATCGGCTTTGGGGCGCGCTTCGCGCGCTGCTAGAAAGTTTTGATGCTTGGAAGAAGAGTTTAGACTGCCTTTTCATTGCTTCGGGCCTTCGGCCCTCGCCTCCCTTTAAGATGGAAAGGGAGGCGCCCTTACTTTTAGACACTTTAGGATTAATCGTCCTTACTTTTAGACACTTTAGGATTAATCCTTCCAATTAGAGTCACTTCGGGCCTTCATCTTCCCCTCGATGCGACTTATCATGCCACTTAGAGTCACTTCGGGCCTTCGGCCCTCGTCTTCCCCACGTTGGGGAAGCCGATGGGTGTCAACTTTTAGATGGGTGTCAACTCGGGCCTTCGGCCCTTGCTCCCCTTTTAGATGGGTGTCAGCTCGGGCCTTCGGCCCTCGCCCTCCCTTTTAGATGGGGTGTCAGCACGGGCCCTCGCCCTTCATTTTAGATGGGTGTCATCTCGAGCTTTCGGCCCTCGCCATCCCTTTTTAGATGGGTGTCAGCTCGGGCCTTCGGCCCTCGCCATCCCTTTTTAGATGGGTGTCAGCTCGGGCCTTCGGCCCTCGTCTTATTAGATAGTACATTTATTAAATAATACATTAAAAAAGAATAGGTTTATGTTGATAGACCTATGGAGCGTCGGCAAGGCGCTTGTGCAAAACCCCGCGCTTCGCGCGGGGTTTTGCGGCACGCGCCTTGCGGGTGTCAATGGTCGCTGGGTTCTACAACAGTAACATAAACCTAATCCTTTTTCCGTTTTCAGCCTTGTTCTGCCGACCTACCCCCGTAGCTCACAAAAATCGGATTCATAAACCAAAATTCAAGCTCTCGTGTTCCCTCAGTTGAGACTCATCCTTCCACTTAGAGTCACTTGGCCTTCGGCCCTCGTGTTCCCTCAGTTGGGACTCATCCTTCCACTTTTGTCAGCTAAAAAGCAAAATTTTTAAAAGTTGAAGCAATTGCTTCAAGTTTAAAACTTTCCACAGTTGAAGCATATTTGCTTCGTAAACTAAAATTTCAAAGTTGAAGCAAATTTTGCTTCATAAACCAAAATTTAATCAAATTTTCTTCAAAACTAAAAATTTCAAAACATGCAGTAATTTCAAAAACGTGAAAAAATTTCAATATATTTCAAAAATTTCAAAACCTGAAGCAAATCTGCTTCAAGCTTCAAAAAATTAAAACATGAAGCAAATTTGCTTCAAGTTTCAAATTTCGAAACTTGAAGCAGAAACCTGAAGCAATAGATGCTCCTGATTCGGATCTACACCTGATCCAGCTTATCACCCACAAAATTTGCCCAGATATACAAAATTCACATTTAAGTTCTTCGCCGGTTTGCCCTGCATGGTCAGAGACGGAGAAAAATTTAGCTTCTCTGCCACCAATTTCACCTGTCAATCATTTTTTCTCTCTCCCTACCATAATTCTCCTGATACGGTACTCCACCCCACAAATTTTCGAACCTCTGTATTTTCGTCAAAATGCCCCATAAAATTTCGAAAAAAATATTTTTAAAGTCAGCTCGATGAGAGCTTTCAAATGATATATCATTCGCCATATCTATCTTGGTTTTCGAAAAAATAAATTTTTGGCCGGAAATTTCGGCCGAAAAAATCACTGAAATATTCAAAAAATCATAACTGGCCCAAAGTATCCTTTTTTGAAGATTTTAAAATCCTATTATATATGGAAAAATCTGCTCTATACGGGGAAACTACTTTTACACCGATCTTACAACAAAAAACCAAGAAAATTTTCAAGAAATCGAAAAATTTTGGATTTTTAAAAAATCGACCCCTACGGCTCCAGTTTTGAATTTTTCAAATGTTTTTTACCTTAAAGAATTTTTAATTTAAGAACTATTTTATAATCGAAATCCCATTCAAAAATCTCAATCCCTTAAATAGTTATGCTTTTTAAAATATTTCCAAATACTTTTCATAAGGGTTACCCATATTGAAAATTCGAGGGGTAGAAATTTTTTAATTTTGACAGAAAAAATGTGTTTTATAGAGAAACCGAACACGCTGAGATCGAATCCGAAGACGAAAAAATTCTAAAAAATTTTCTTGAAAAGTTATGGTCGAAAAACCATTTCAGTCCCAGACTCAAATCCCAAATCTCGAACTACAAACTTTGAAATTCGAAATGTTGGTTAATCCCAATGGATTCCCCTTTAGATATGCTTTAGAATGACTACTCGTTCACCTATATCCGTTTGATTCTCAAATCCCAGAAATGTCGAATCTCGAACTTCGAATTCTACATTTCAAGTTTCGATATTTTTAATAATCCCACTCATCTCCCCTCATTATCCCCTCTTGAATGAGTATTAAAGAATTTTTAATTTTTAGTTCGACCATACTTTCGACATACCATACCATACTTTCGACCATACTTTTCGACCATACTTCGACCATACTTCTCAATCCCGGAAATCCCGGATTTCGAAGTTCCGAACTTCGACTTTCGGCTTTATCTCATTCAATTCCCCTCGTTATCACCTCTTGAAACTACCCACTCATCCATATATCCTAACCCCGAAAAACCCGGATTTCGAAGTTCGACTTCGAACTTCGACTTTCGGCTTGATTCTTTATCCCACTAAGATCCTCTCATTATCCCCTCTCGAATGAGTACTCATTCGACCATACTTCCCGATCCCGAAAATCCCGGATTTCGAAGTTCGAACTCCGAACTTCGACTTTCGGCTTTACTATTTATCCCATTCAACTCCCCTCATTATCCGCTTTCGAATGACTACACATTCGACCATATTCCAAAATCCCTAAAAATTCCGAAATCCCGGATCCCTAATTTCGAATTCCCCCTATTTTGCTTCAACTTACCCTCCCTCAACTCGAAACTTGCTTCAGCTTCGAAATCCCACTATTTCAACTCGAAATTTCTCCTATCAATCACAATTTCTCTCTCACCTATAAGATTTGCCCCCAGGATTTCCTCACTTTAAAGAAAATTCGACATTTATCCTTATCCCGTTCAACTCCCCTCACTCCCAGCTCTCAAACGACTACCTACTCACCCATACTCTGAAATCCCGAAAATCCCGGATCCCTAATTTCGACTTTGCTTCGTGTTTCCTCATTTGTTTACCCTGCTTCAAGTTTAAACTTGCTTCTGCTGCAAGTTTAAACTTGCTTCAACTATTTTTTTCACCTGCCAATCACAATTTCTCTCTCACCTATAAGATATGCCCCCAGGATTTCGTCATTTCCGAAAAATCGGACTTTTCACCGAAAAACCAATTTTGTGTCAGGCATATCGACCTTTAGACTTGGGATTTCGACCTCGGGTTTTTTTGTTTCAGCATCTCCAAATCATGCTCCAGTGCCCTCCAAGCGGAACTTTTCCGCTATCTTTATCCGTTCCGGAGATATCCCCGGTATCTATGCGATTTAGGTACCAAGGGGGGCAATTATTGAAAAAACAACATTTTTCCCAGATGACCCATAAAAAGTACCCAGCAAGATGTCAAAGTCCCAAATTCATATCTCAACTCTGTAAAAAGTTCTAGGTTTTTGAAAGTCACGTAGCTAAACTACCACTACTTTTATAGGCAAAGTAACTTTTTTTATATATATATATTAAAAATTTTCTCGTTATTTCAATTTTTAGATGTATTCTATTTTGCATGAAACTGATGATGCTACTTCTGTGAATTTTTGTTTTTGGGGGAAATTTTTACCAAATGCAGATTTGTTAGTAACTGCTGGCGCAAAAACTTTACGTTTTTTTCGATTAAATAATTGTGGTAATTCAATTAATTCTCCTCAATTAGAATGTTTACTTTCATTTACAATGATGGCACCAATCCGTGGAATGGCTGTAATAAGGCTAGAAGGTTTGGATTTTTAAATTTTCATCAAAAATAAAGTCTAAAATTTTTTGCCCGGTAAAATATAATCTCTTAGAAACACCTTGCTAATTTAAATTATAGCTTATTTATTTTACCTAATTTAAATGTTCAACAGATTTTTTATAAAAATATTGGGGTAATATTTTTTTTCCTCACCGAGTTTTTCCATATATTTTCACATGATGGTCAGACTTTCCTTGCTTCCTTTCCAATTGTTAAAGGTTGTAACTTTTTTATAAATTGAGAAAAATTAATCCTCCTCTTGTTTTTGCATATTACTTGCACTTTATAAAATTAAATATTTTTTTTTGTTTGATTGTTGACAAATATGGAAAGGCAATTGGGAAGAAAGAAAGGAAAAAGTCTGGCCATCATGTAAAAATATATGGAAAAACTTGGGGAGGAAAAAATGTGGTCTGTTAGGTTCAATATTACCAATATTGGAACTTAATTATTTTATTTATACGTTAAAATAATTACCGACAGAAATTCTTTTTTATTCTTAAAATTAAAATACTTTCATCTTACAATTAATTTAATTCTTAAATTATATTCTCCTAGATTTCCCTGACTTTGACGCATTAGCTTTAACATTTGATGATGCCAAGCTTTCAATTGTCAACATTAACCCTTCCACAATGACACTTAACACTCTTTCTTTACATTCAATAGAAGATGAATTATTACGTGAAGGTTATGCCAAAGATATCCATCATCCTGTCCTTTGCGCTGATCCAGAGAGTCGTTGTTGTGTTTTTACTGTTTATGGAAGACATTTGGCTGTTGTCCCAATTAAACGAATTAACAGGGTTAATAAGGAAAATGATTGTCTTCCAAGTAAAGATGGACGTCAGATTTTATTGCAAAGTTACACAATCAAATTGAGGTTTTTTTATTTTGTAATTACTTAATACTCCATCGGGATTGATCTCTTGATTTGTGAGAATTTTTTAAATTTATTTACGACCCAGAAAAATTCTGTTAAAAAATTTCTCCAAAAATCTATTTTCTCATTTTTCTTTCCAATTTTCCTTTCAAGGTCACTCGACGAACGTCTAGAGAATATTCATGATATGTGCTTTCTGCATGGATATTTTGAGCCAACAATTCTTTTTCTTTATGAGCCAATCCAAACAACAGCTGGAAGGTTAAATTTTCAAATAATACATTTATTTTCTATTTTTTAGAGCAGCAGTTCGTTTTGACACTGTCTCTATTCTGGCTGTTTTTCTGAATTTAAAAGACAAAATACATACAGTTGTTTGGAATTTTTCCGGTTTTTTTAAATTTAATTATTTTATTTTTATTTTAGGCCTTCCAATGAACATAAATCGTTGTTTGCCTATTAACCCTCCAATTGGGGGAATTTGTTTATTTGGTGCCAACGAAATTGTTTATTTAAATCAATCTGTCCCACCAAGAGGAATTTCTTTAAATTCTTGTTCTGAAGAATTTATTAGATTTCCATTAAGTAATCAACAACAAAATTTAAAGTTAGTTTTGGAAGGCTGTGCTGTAGAAAGGGTATCAAATTCTCCTAACGATGTTTTTGTTGTTTTGTCTAATGGAGATTTATATATTTTATCTCTTGAAACTGACCAAGCAAATGTTGTTAGAAATATGCATTTGACAAAAACTTTTGGTAAGTTTGTTTAAAGAATACTAGGTTATATTTTGTATTTATTTTTGGTGTTAACTGGGGCTTGATAATTTTAAATTAGAATATCAATTTGTAATCTAAAACTTTTCATATTTACTTTAAATTAAAATGTCCATTTAAAATACCCCCATTTAATTTTAGAAACATCAATTCCTTGTGTTCTTACAAGTTTCTCAACAAATTTTCTTTTTGTTGGTTCCAGACTTGGAGATTCACAATTACTACGTTATTCACTAGACAAAATACGAGGCTCAAAGGATTATTCAAATAATCAGGATTTGGTAAATCATTCGCGAATTTTATTCAATGATGATGATATTTTTCTTTATGGCGATGATTTTTGTAAAAGTTTTTTAATTGAAGAGGTTTTTTTAATTTTTAAGGATATTTTTAAAAAATTTTAGACCCTCAGACAAATTGTACGGACATATAAATTTGAGTTGCTTGATATTCTTCCAAACATTGGACCCTGTAAATGGTTGAGAGTTTGCAATGCTACTTACATAAGCGATGCTTTTCGGAAAAATGCCAGAGATGTTTACTTCGACATGGTTATTCTTATTTTTACACTTTTCTATTAGTTATAAGCTTTCCAAGATTTGGTATCTAAAATTATTCTGTTAAAGTTTTTTATTCATATTACTTTATTTTTTATATAGATGACAGCTTCTGGTCATGGGAAGGATTCTTCGCTTTGCCTCTATCATCGCTCTGTCCGACCACAAATTATAACAAGCACATTGTTCGGCGTAATTATTTTTTAAAACTCCTTATATATTTATATTATTTTAACTGTTAGTTTAAGGGTCTAGAACATTGTTCCCTAAAACAATTGTTCAAAAAATATGATTTTTCCGCTCACATTTTTGTGACCAATGTTCTGCATCTTCACCAACATCTTACTGGATTTAACTTTTTTTTAATATTTTGTTTGCAGTTTGGATGAAGCTCAACAAATTTGGACTATCGGTCGTCATTACGACGATATGCACAAATATTTGCTAATTTCTCGTGAACGCAGCACCGTTGCCTTAGAATTACACAATGATATGATCGAATTGGATACCCCACTCTTTTGCACTAATGAGTCAACATTGATGGCTGGGGATTTGGCAGAAGGAAATGTTGCTGTACAGGTCTGTTATTTTTATTAAAACATTTTTGTTGAGATTTAGTTGGTTTTATTCGTTATACCTTTCAACCGTTTCCACCCCCTAGAGTCTTGAATCGAACTATTGACATAATTATGAGCATAATTTATTATTTTTTAGATAACACCTACAAGGTAAATTTTTTTGTCCAATTTATTCCAAACATATTAGCATTATTCTCGTCGCAAATAATCAACAAATCGACTGCATTTCAATTGACTCAAGTTTTCCAGTAATTTCTGCTTCGCTTATTGATCCTTATTTGGCTCTTCTTACACTAAATGGTCGTTTTTTCCTTTATCAATTGTTTACAAAGCCAAACATTCATCTTAAACAGGTTCTTTTAACATAGATTTTTGTTGAGATTTCAAGTATTTCCTTTCTGTTAATTCTTTTTGTATTTTAAAAATCTAATTTTTCAAGATACCAATTCTAAATGTGCTCAAGCACGAAAAATCGCCTATCACAGCAATTTCACTTTACAAGGATTGCAGTGGTTTAATTCAATATTCAGACAATAAAAAGATTATTGAACAGGAAGAATCGTCGTCTGCAAATGAAAAACTTTTATTTCCAAAATCTAATTCCTTAGATTCTTCTTTAATCAAAAATGAGATGGATGAAGATTTGGCAACAAAAGAACAACTTAACGAAGAGGATGATATCGATGCATTTCTTTATGGAGTTACAGAAAAGGAGCGGAATAAAAGTAAATTTTTAAACTAATTAAAAATTAATTATTGAGACGAATGTCTACTTTTGATATCTACGTACATTGAAAGATGAATTAAAATATTAGCTTTTATCCTAATGTTAACTTTTTATCATTAGCTGAACATCAAAATGAACCGCAAAAACAAAAAATAGAAGCACAAAAGCAGCAACAGAAAATTAGTTGGCTTACAATTTCAAACGAGATATCAATTAATGCCAATACTGATGAATTTGTTGAACGCCCATCTAAAATTATACCAACTTTTTGGTTGTTTTTTACTCGTGAAAATGGCAATCTTTACATTTACAATTTACCTAATTTACAATTAGTTTATGTGGTAAAGATAAAAATTTTTCTTAAATTTTTTCTTATTTTTTAAGGTCAGAAAGTTTTGTCAATCTCATGATGTTCTCTATGATGATGTACAATCTGCAATTGATGATGAACATAGGCCTTCTCAACAATCATTTATGAACACACCAGTTATTGTGCCACAACCCGCTGAAAGCCTTTCCTCTGATACAATTGTTAAACCTGAAGAGGTTTAAAAATGATTTTTCTTTTAAATAATGCTTTCAAGAAAATATTCGAACTACAAATGTGTGGGCTTGGAATGAATTGTGGCCGGCCTGTTCTTTCCGCTCTGTTTGATGATATGGTTGTCTTCTATGAATTGTTTCCTTATGATGATAATATTAATGGTAATTATATTTTAATAATTTTAAGAAAAAATTTTACGTTTAACTTTACATCATTTCCCGAAGGGAGTTTTCTATTCTTGAGTCGATGCAGGAATTGAATTTATTTTTAAGGTCATCTTGCCATCAGGTTCAAACGTCTCCCCTGCACTGTAGTTATACGAGAGAAACGTTTTCTTGGCCCTAATGGCAGAGCGCAAGTTGAGGCACATGAAGTTGAGGATAGACACAGACAACGAATTTTTCCTTTTGGTTCATTGAGTAATTTGGTTTGTTTTTTTATTTATTTAAAATCTGAAATTTATTTTAGTCTAATGGAATCTTTATTGCTGGCGCATACCCTTCAATTCTACTAATAAATCGTAGTGGAGTTCAACTCCATCCAATGACCATCGACGGACAAATAACGGCTTTCTCACCATTCAATAATGCTAATTGCAAAAATGGCTTCTTGTATCTCACAAAAAAGCCAGAACATATGATGCGTGTTGCAACTTTGAACGTTAATTTTATTTTTAAATAATTTCATTTCCAATAGGTTTTTCTGGTTATGTTATACTAGTTGTAAACTTTTTAAATATTTTAGACTCAATATATTTTAATTAAAATTTATTTAAGTCAGATATTGACTATGATTGCTCATATCCACATCGTAAAATCCCAATTGGACAAACTATTAGCCATGTAGTTTTTATGCTTCAAGGAGACCTCATCATGTTAGTAACGAGTGAAAAGAAGCCAAACAAAACTGTTTGTACTATTGTGAATGAGGAAAAGCAAGTGGAGACACATGATCGTGACGAAAATTTTATTTTGCCAAGCATTGATTCATACAAACTTAGGGTTTGTAATATTTTTATTCTCGAAGAATCTCTTCCAAAATTAATTAATATTTAGCTCTTTTCAACGGAAGATTGGAAATTTGTGCCAAACTTTGAATTTCAATTGGAGGAGTTTGAAGTTGCAACAGCCTGTGAAGAAGTATTGCTAACCTCTGAAAGCACAGTTTCTGGAGTAAAAAATTATCTGGCATTGGGAACAGCTATCAATTATGGAGAGGAGGTGTATGTTCGTGGACGAGTAGTGCTTTTTGAGTTAATTGAAGTAGTGCCAGAGGAAGGAATGCCTACAACACGTCACAAACTTAAAACAATTTATGACAAGGAACAAAAAGGGCCTGTAACTAGTTTATGTGCAATTAATGGATTTTTACTTACTGGAATGGGTCAAAAGGTCTTTAACTTTCTCTTTCTATTTTACATATGTCAAACTTAATTTTAGATTTTTATTTGGCAATTTCGTGACAATCAATTACATGGTGTTTCCTTTCTTGATTTACATTTCTACGTTCATCATATGGTTGCTTTTCGTGATTTTGCATTAGCTTGTGATTTATATCGTTCTCTTTCATTAATTCGATACCAGGTACTTTTAGAGATTATAAAATGATTAAATTATTTTTAAGGAAGAATTTAAAGCACTTTCATTAGTTTCACGAGATTTACGCCCAACAGCCCCAACCCCAATGACTGCTCAATTTATCATAGATCATAAACAACTTGGATTTATTCTTACGGACGAATTGGCTAACATAACTTTATTTAATTATTTACCTGAAATGAAAGAATCAATTGGTGGTGAACGGTTAATTATTAGAGCAATATTAAATATTGGATCATTAATTAATACTATTGTGCGAGTTAAAGGTAAATTGATTTTTATGTCTTTTAATGTAAATATTAAAATAATTTAAAAATTTTAGGGCATACTTCTGAATGTTTCATTGATTCAGAACAACAACGTGGAATACAAACTTGCTATTTTGCTACATTAGACGGTTCTTTTGGTTTTATCAAGCCTATCATCGAAAAAGTTTTTAGAAGACTACACATGTTACAACAAGTAATTAAAAATTTTTAAAAGTAATCATTAAAAATAAATTTTAAAGATGATGAATATGTATGTACCTCAACCAGCAGGGGTATAATTTTAAATATTCTGTAATTTTGAAGATTATTTCAAATAATTTTTTAGTTAAATCCTCGTGGTTCACGTGCTGGACGTCCACAAAAGACTGGAACTAATCAACAAATAAGTGCAGCAAAAAATATTATCGATGGTTTACTAGTAATGCAATATATGCATTTAAGCTCTCAAGAAAAAACAGATTTAGCTAAAAAGTTGGGAACAAGTAAATATCAAATAATTGATGATCTCACTGAGTTAATTAGAATTACTTCTCATTATTAATTTTATTTTTGTTTTTAATTTTTATTTTGTTATTTCAGTAAAATTTATAAAAATTTAATAAAAAAATCTTTTTGGAAATATGTACTAACATCCTCTACGAGATGGCATAAAAACTTTAATTTTAATGTGCATCTATTGTTCCTAACGTTTACCAAATATTCTAGTTTTTATATTTATTTCTTATTTACTAGAGCTATAGTATGTATGTATGTATGTATGTATGTATGTATGTATGTATGTATGTATATAATATAAAAAGTATATAAAAACTAGAATGTTTGGTAACAAACGCTAGGAACAATAGATGAGCATTCAGATTAAAGTTTTTATGCTATCTCGTAGAGGATGGCATAAAATGGGTACACCTACATTTTCCTTTATTGTTTTTCTTATTTCTCAAAAATAATACCTTTAAAATTTCATTTTGCTTAAAATTTCTCAATCAAATCATTGCAAATTAATTTAGAAAAAATTTAAAAGACACACATACATAAAGCAATTTTAAAGTGCAATACTATTCTTTGACACAGTCAATCACATTGATTTCCTTTAATGTATTTTGATTTTCTTAAAAAGTGTGTTTTAATGTCTTGTTTATTTTGAGAATTTTAATTAAAGAATTTTAATATTTTTTAATTAAAAAAAATATTTTTTTAAATTAAAGTTAGGTATTTAAATGTTGCCAATAATATTTATTTTATTATTGTTAATTGTAAATATATCTTTTTCTACAATAATTGAATCAGAATATTCGGAAGAAACACATGCATGTAAATATTTAATTAGGGTGCAAAAAATTTTTATCCATTTGTAAAAAATCTGAGAAAGGTCAACACTTAGCTAATTTGGATCTGAGTGGCACAAATCTTTTTTTAATATCCACAATGTTTAACAAAATATTTACTGGAATTTTATATTTATTTGCAGCGCTAAAAATTGAATTTCTGGCTTCTTAAACACATGAAAACCTCGAAAATTTCGCCTTTGGCACTAAAATTTTTTTGATGTTTTTTCGTCCCCTTGTAAAAATTTTTCCCAGTTCCCGCCCTCATGATGAAATGCTAGGTAATTTTGAAGAAATTGACATATATTTAAACTACTAATATACAAAAAGATTGAGGAAATAAATTGGGGATCATAAGGGCACTTTTCAAATTTGAAATAAATTCTGAAATTTTTTATGGATCACTTACTTTTTGCACTCTAGTATATATTAAATATGTATAATAATTTAAATTAAGCATCTTTTCCGGATAATATTTGTGAAATTAACGAAAAGAATGTCGGAGAATGTTCAACAAGTATTAATTGTAAAAAAAGAAAATTTGAAGAAATTGAACAAAAAAATTCAAAAAATAAAAGAAGTGGAACGTAAAAAATTAATTATTGAAATAATATTTTTTTAATAGAAAAATTTAAATTAGGGTTGGAGGAAATGGGGTTATAGTAATAAATATTTTATGTCTGAATTTATAATATGAGTATAAATAAATAAAAAATAGATCCAGTCATCTGGTTTGGATGGATGAGAAAGTCGGGGTTTGAATACACGATGAATTTATTTCCACCTCCTTCCCATTCTATCCCGTGTCAGGGCAGAACTTCGAACAGACAAGAACAGACAAAACTTCGACCGACAAAACTTTGTCAGATCAAAATCTCTTTGGAACTATGAATAAATAAAGGTTTTGTCATTCGAAGTTCTGCCCCTCACCCTTCTATTCGTAACATAAATATAAATAAAATTTAGAGAATATTTTAAAGGGATTTAAAAAAATATTTTTAAAAGTTTTTAATATTTTAATTATTTAAATTAATTAGAAGTAAATATAAAGTGATTGAAATTAATAAAATTCAAAATTATTTATTCCCTAATGAGAATGAGAAAAAAGAATGGAAACATATGTGTCCAAATTTACAAGAAAAAATATTTAAATATTATGAAAATAACAATAATGATTTTAAACAAGCTATAAATGAATATAAAAAAATTAAAAAATCTAAAAATAAAAAACTTAATCGTTTAGAATTAATTAATAAAATTGAAAATGAGGTTGGGGATTTTTGAATAAAATATAATTAATTTTTGTATTTTGTTTTAAATATGGGTGAGGGGCAACTCAAGGAATGCCAGTCAAGGAAAAGACAAGTCAAAGAACGACCAACTCATGGAATATTTTAAAAATCAGAATTTTTCAGAATTTTTTTCAAATTCTTATTTTTAAAAATATTCAGATTTTTCAAAAAATTTAAATTTTTAAAATATTCTATGATTTGGTATTTCCATGAGTTGGTCGTTCCTTGACTCGTCGTGATTTGTCTGTTCCTTGAGTTAGCTCGACACGTTTAAATATATCCCCAAATCCCCAAAAATATATCTCCAAAATTGTTTATTTATCCCTCCCCATTAGGCGAAACTGCTTAGACTTCTAAACACTAGTTTCAATTGTATTATATTTGATTTTGGTATTAATAAAAATAATAAAAATAAACAAAAAATTAAAACAAAAATAATTAACTCAATAAATAAATAGCATTAAATATTTAAAAAATATTAATTAAAAAAATTTGAGGAAAGGAAAAATTAATTTAAAAAATTTAGGAGCCATTAATTCAAGGCTTGTGTGTTCTATTTTTATATGGAGGTATACAAATAAGAAGCTTATCAGAATATATTAATATCCATCGAGATACATTAAAACAAATACTTCATAGACGAAAAATTAATTTAAATGGAAGGTTTAATGTTTGAAATTTAAAATAAATTTTATTTTAAAAATTTTAGTAATAATTATACAAATAAAAATTTTGAAGAAATTAAAAAAATATTGGACGAAAAAATGAAAGAAAAATGTGGAGGAAAATGGAAAATTGAAAGAAAAATAAATTTTAATCCTTTAGAAGGAAAAAAACTTTATTTCAAAATTTTAAAAATGGCTAGGGAAATTAATGAAAAAATTAAAAATAAAGATATTTTAAATTATTTAAAGACTGTAGAGGAAAATAAAATTTATAAAGAATTAATTAAGAAAATACCTGAAGGGGAAGTAGAAAAACGAGAAAAACAAACTTTTGAAATGTTTTTAAATAAATATAAAATAATTATTGAAGATTTATGTCAGGAACTGAAAGAAAGATTTAGATGTAAATTTAATTAAATTAATTTTTTTATTGAAAAAATATGTCCCAAATTATTTGTGGAAATAAAATAAAAAGTTATTAAATAGGGGTAACCAATGCTGGCTGGAAAAATCCATAAACAGTCAGATGAATTTGGGCTAGAAAATTTTATCAAAATACATATCATCATCCTAATAATAATGATACAGTAAAGCAACTGGGCTATAGGTATTTCTCTCCTTTAGCTAGTGCAGAAGGTTAATCGGCGGCTCGGAGCGAACAAACATCTTCCGTAGACCGGACTGATGTGTTATCCTTTAAACCAAGCCGCCCACTGCACAACCTTAGGAATTAAATAGCTATATGCTTTACAATACAAAACAGATATCATAATATTGTCAGTTATAAGAAAATTTTTCAAATCTCTGAAACTTATCAGAAAAATTAAAAATATTAGTGAGTAAGGGTTAGAGAATGTTGCCGTCAAATAAAATTAATTAATATTTTTATATTATTTTTTTAGTAATAAATAGTGTATATGTAAAGAATCCAGATATTATATTAAACAAAATTTCATCATTTCTTTACTTCCAATTATTTTTGAATTTATCTAAATTAATTAATTGTTATGATTATTTTGATACAAAATGGGCAGATTATATTTTAATAAATAATTTAATTAAAATATTTAATGAAAATTGTAATGAAATTCCTGATAAATGTTATAATATGGAATTAAAATTTGAGGGGAGAACGAAAAAAAGGAGAATTGAAGAAGAGAATGATTTTAATATAAAAATAAAATTATTAGTTAAAAATAAAGTTGAAGAATTCGTATTTAATTATATTGAAGAAGTTTATCCTTATATTAATTATTTAAATAAGGAAAAATTATTTTAAAATTAAAAAAGAAGGAAGAAGAATATTTTTTGGAAGCGAAAATAAAAAATTTTGTGTTATATTTAAAAAAAATAAATTTATTTTATTTTTTCGAAATTATTTACAAAAAAATTTAATTTTTAAAAGAAATTATAAAAAAGAATTTTGTTGTTCTTTAAATCCATTTGTAGGTTGAGATATATCGCATAAAATGTATTCTAAAGCTGATCGTAAATTAATTAAAGAATTATTTGAATGTAATTTTCCGGGCCAGCAAAGAATATCATTCTAAATATAATTTTATATTTTAAATTAAATAGATGAGTGGAAAAAAACAAAATTTGGCTGGAAAATTAAAATAAATTTTTATATGTACAAAGATAATTAAACAGCGTTAAGAGACTTTAGGTCGGCTCGGGACGGGATCCCGAAGGGATTTTCCGGGATCCCGAAATCCCTGATTTTTTTGATTTTCGGGATCTTTCGGTATTTATCCCTCGGGATCCCGTCCCGGCATCGGTTAAGAAAAAAATTTCGACTCGGGATCCAGAAAGTACGATTTTGCCGACTTCTACTTTAGACCACCAAGTTTTTAAATATTTCTATCAATTCCCTTAATTAAACCTTTAAAATTCACCGTTTCTGCAAATTTTTTAGTTACTTCATTATTAGAAATAAAAACAATTAATTTCTTTTGAAATTGATTTATCAATCTTTCAAAAACAGTTTCTCTTCCATTTCGAGTAATACAAAAAACTTTGAAAATATTTTTTATTTAAAAACAAAGTTATCAACAAAACCATTTTCAGCCTCAATATATTCCCCCAATCTACACAACATTAAACGGCCAAAAGCGCCAGATATTCCACCCTCTATTTGATTAGATGAGAGTATTACATTAACATAAGGTTGTTTAAGTAATGGAGATCTTTTAAAAAAGGGGTTATTTGTATATTTAATTTAATTTTTCCCCTTATTTATTTTCAAATAATTAAATTTCTAATTAATTCATAATTTAAATTTAATCAAAATCCCATAAATACTTCTCTAAAACCCCTTCATTCTTTAATAAAAACTAACCGTTTATGAATAAAAGATAAACACTCCCTAAACAATGCTATACTAGCCTCCGGAAATTTCTAAAATTAATTATCCAAATTAATTAATTAAATATATTAATTACTTCAATATTCTCCAAATGACTAATTAATTGAGTAGATGGAAGTCCACAATGCTCTAACAAGTCTGTAATTAAATAAAAAATTAAAATTATCAGGAAATACCAAGTGGGGATACCGTAAATGATCGGATAACTACCCGGGGTAATTATTGTTTCTACCTCTCGCTAGATGGGGTAATTGAGAGGGGGCGATTTTCTGAGAGAGGGTAATTATTCGAGCATTTACGGTAGGTCTAAAACACAAGAAACCCCCAATTTTTGTTTGTATGGTTTAATCTTCAAAAAATCTCACCAGCAAATGAAGATAGCCTTCTATATCTCTCAAAAACATTCTTAACATTTCTACATTTTTCTGCTAATTTTCTATATCCATCTGTAGAAGATATTCCCGTTTGTTTATTTAAATTAGATGAAGAAGTTGGAATTGAAGAGGGATTGGTAGATGGAAGTTGAATATTATTGTTATTATTAGATAATTCATCAGAAAATGAATTTGAAGGATTAGCATTATGAAGTGCCTATTTAGAGAAATATTTTTAGTAATTTATTCTTATTCTTTACTTCATCCATTTCAGCATCCATAATATTTGTTTGTTCAAAATCATCAAAATTCTCTAAATTAAATAGGTGTTCTAACACTTTTAATAATGCCTCATTTAACATAATTTCTAACTGATCTTTATAATAATGATTTTGGGGAAGTATAGAACAAACATCTTCCTTCAAATAATTAATTTAATTAAATACAAGACAATTTATTTTTTACCAATTCCCAAACAAATACTCGTGTTTGGTTTAATTCTTGACTTTGGCTTCTAATTGCGGAAATCTTCTTTTTCTTTGAACGTTCTATAAAAATAAAAATATTTTTAATAAATTATTTCTTTCTTGTCCAATATGGAAACAATAGAATAGAAAATCTAGGATCTACAGGGATCACTAAAGGAATTAACTCGTATAAAACAAAATTAATATTTTATTATATAAAACTTTAAATAATTCCTAATGTACTTAAGAATTAATTAATATTGCATCTCCATTAAGTCCAGCATTAATATTTTAAATAAAATATTTTATTGCCTTATTTTGTGTCCTTGCATAAATTAAATAAAAAATATTAATTATGTACTTATATTTAAAGAAGCCCCGCCACATTTCTCTCCTTTATTTCTTGATTTGCTTGATTTTGTAGCACCATTATTGTGTGAATTTGTTTCCAAAGGAGGTGAGGAAACCGCAGCAGATCCATTATTTAATGGAGGGGATGTGTCTAATTCACTGCCTGTAGCGATTGCTTGTTGATCCTGCATTAATAATTTCTTGTTGATTTTTGAATTTATTTATTTTCAATTACCATTAATATCGTTGGAGGGTATTTATTACTGTTATTCATTGAAAGTATGGCAGGGTAATTTTGTGGATGTTGTTGAGGTTGCTGACCATAATGTGAAGCTAATGCTTTTGCTGATGATGCAGCTGCTGCATAATAACTGCTAGGAAATGAGGCAGCAGCCGCATTATAATAATCGACAGCTTGGTGCGGATACACACCTTCATATGTGTAGGTGATTATTAAATAGTTAACAAATTTAATAAATTTACCAGAATAAGGAGACCCCAAGTATCCATTAAGTGCAGCTCCAACTCTTTGAACACCTCCTAGTCCATAATAACCTACATAATTTTGTGTTGGGTACCAAGCTGAAGTTTGACCACCACCATTTGCAGCCGAAGCAGCTGCGATCATTTGCTCATAATAAGCAGCACTATTCTGCTGTTGTTGTTGTAGTTGTTGTTGAGAATTGATGTTGTTCAGAGACTGCTGTCCACCATCTTTATAAAAGGAACTTTTGAATTTCCAAACAAGTCCAGCATGTTTACATTTTAACTACATTTTAGTTAACCGTTTTTAAAATCACAAAAACCTAACTTCTAACATAACTAACTTCAAATTTTACCTAACTTCAAACTCTTTTTAACAACTTTATAAAAATATTCCTACCATCAGACCTTCCCATTGCCAAATCCCATTCATGACTTGTTGCCCAATACGGATTCCTCGATGGCATGGACAACGAGGAGGAAGATGCGTCTAATGCTTTAATATTTAAAAAATTTCCTTTTGGAGAAATTAAAGGGATTAACTAATTAAATAATTAATTGTTTAATTTATTTTTAATTATTTAGTTTATTTCTACAAATTAACCTTCAGGCTCAAACTTCGTTGAGGCAGTCATTTTCTTATTCTTTTTGCTAATTATTGGATAAAAAGTTTCTATGAGTTACAGTAGAACAAAGATTTAATTTCCTCAAATAATAACAAAAACCTTAATTCCCCTTTAAATCTAGCAAAATATTTATTTTTTAATTTCAGGATAAATACAAAATGAAAGGAAGGAATTGATTAAAATAAAACTAAAAATTTAGACAAAGCTTAGGGAGATGCAGAAAAGTGTCGGATTTCAACAAGCGCAACGCAGGCATTGTTTAGATTTTTAATGAGGAAAAAAATAAGTTGGATTGTTGGGAGGGTAAATAATGATGGGGGCTATTAAAAATAAATTTATTTGTTTGTATAAATAAAAAAAACTGTAGAGAATATTTATGGCTTGGCTTGAAAAACAAAAAAATTTTTTTATTTTTTAAAAATTAATAAAAATAAAAAAATATTTTTTTTAATTTTTATTTTTGCTCGTTTATGTAGATATAAGTGCCTTTTGTTTATCCACTACGAAGAAAAATAGAAAAAAATTGTAACCTGATATTCTTGTGACTTTCGATTAAGTTAATGGCAAAAAAGCTTGGGAATATTTTAATGAACAAATGTTTATTTTGAATATATTGACTAGTTAAATAAATAAATAAAAAAGAAAATATTTTTTAAATTAAATTTTGGATTTATTTTAGAATTATTTTTAAAATAGGTATTTTTTTAATTTAAAAATCAAAATTTGTGTATATACATAAATAAAAATATATTATGTATTAATTTAAAAAATATATATAACAAAAGCCAGTTACTCGTTAAAAAAGGATTGTTAATGGTAGAGAACAGAATTTCAAATCTTGGGACACGCCCAAATTGTTGCGTGCCAAGTAGACGCAAAGTCACTACCTGAAAATTTTCTGAACCTTAACAATTTTGGTACCATTCACTTTAGCTCGATGAATGGAATCGTTTAATACTAAATTTTGAAAGATTTGGAAATCTTGAAGCAAGTAATGGCTTTGCGCTTGGGCTGTACCTCAAATTCTCCTCCAAAGGATACAGAAATAAACAATTTTTTATTTTTAAAATAATTTTTGTTAACTTTTAGCCAAAGAATTTATGAAAAAACAATACTTTTCAGTAAATACAATAATAATTAAAATATTAAATAAACACTAATTATTGTTCAATCACCGTATATTTATCAGTACAATCATCACAAATTTTAACTAATTGATCTGTCTTTTGATATATTGTATGGAATTGTTTTACACCTTTTTTTGGTTTAAAATTTAAAAAAAAACACTAATAAATCCCTACCACTTTCGTAGGCTGGACCTTGAGCATATAAAATATGCCACCAATTAGAAGCATTTAATTTAAGAATCTTTTAATTTATTTAATTAAATTTAAAATTATTTTTTACCATTTTTCTTTCTTCTTTTGGAATATTATTTATTTTATTATAATCAACAATAAATGTACATCCAAATATTCCATTTTTTCTTAAAAAATTTTTCTCGGAAAGTAAAGTTTTTGAGGCCTGATAAATTGGGAAGTTCTTTTAGTTTAAAAATATTTTTACTTCAAGAAGAGGTATATTTTGTGTAAATAAATTATATGAAATTTCCATTTTAGGTTTATCATTTCCAATAAATATACAATCCATAACGGAGTCGTTCCCCTCAAAAATATTAAATGAATGGATATAAAAATAAATTTAAAAAAATTAAAACCTGAAATATTCTAAAAAAATTACTCCTACAGAGAGAGAAAGGGATGGGTACAAGTTTAACCTTTTACAAGTTTAACGCAATTGTGATTTTCAAAAGTAATAAAATATAATTAGTTGTCCCAATTAATTTTTACAAAATTTCTCCCAATTAATTATTTTAAGCTATGTATAACTTAATAAATTACCATAGACATATCATCACTAAATGCCATAGCCATCCATTGATATTCATTTGCATTAATAATTGGTTTTGCCTTTTTATTAAATTAAAATATGTATATGTATTTATTTTATCTCAGGGCTCCGATTCGTACTTTTTTAAAAGTATTGTACTTTTTTATCGACCTTCGTACTTCCGAAATTGAATTTGTACTTTTTTGAAAGTATGTACTTTTTTATCAACATTTTTGAAAAAACGAAGAAATCTGGCTTAAGGACCTCCAAAATTCTCAAAATTTTCACCTGCGGCGCAAAAAATGGAAGAAATCTGGCTTAAGAACCTCCAAAATTCTCAAAATTTTCGCCTGCGGCGCAAAAAATGGAAGAAATCTGGCTTAAGAACCTCCAAAATTCTCAAAATTTTCGCCTGCGGCGCAAAAAATGGAAGAAATCTGGCTTAAGAACCTCCAAAATTCTCAAAATTTTCGCCTGCGGCGCAAAAAATGGAAGAAATCTGGCTTAAGAACCTCCAAAATTCTCAAAATTTTCGCCTGCGGCGCAAAAAATGGAAGAAATCTGGCTTAAGGACCTCCAAAATTCTTAAAATTTTCGCCTGCGGCGCTGAAAAAGAAGAAATCTGGCTTCTTAGGCTCCAAATTTCAAAAAATTTTCGCCTGCGGCGCTTCTCAATGGCAAACATTCAATGGACGAAAGAAAGAAACTCGCTTGAGGTTAAGACTGTCAGAGCTTTGCTTCATGTGACAGCAAATTTTGACATGTCAACAAAATGCTCAGTTGAAACAAGAAATTATTAGAAAAGATTAATTTAAGAGAGAAATATAAAAGATCTGATCACGAATAAATATTTTCAAATTTAATTTTGAGTGTACTTTTTATTTGTAAATTTTCTCCCTATGTACTTTTTTTACAAGATTTTGATACTTTTGAGTGGCATTTTGTCGATCGGAGCCCTGTTTTATCTCTTTAAAAATGCCTGTATTTCAATTAATAATTTATTTTGTTGAAAAACCCAACGAATTATCTTTAATTTAATTAAATATAAAAAATATTCTTTAATTAACTGCTTGACAATTTTCAACAGAATTACATCCAGAAGGATATGGCCAACAAGCGCGACTTTTCCCGCAATCTTCTAGTCCGTAAAGATTAAATGTTGCATTAATATTTAATAAAAAACAATTGAGGAATATCAACTGTTTAATAAATAAAATTTTTTCTCAAAATTTATTTTAAAAAATAAAATTAATATTTTCTTTTTTCAATGATAATTTTTTATTTAAATATTAATTAATATTTATTATCAAAAATAACAAACCAGAATAATTTTATAACAAATACACATTTATTTATTTATAAAAATAATAATATATTTTAAGTTTTTATTTAATAAAATTTTATAAAAAATAATTTGTTTTAAATTTATTAAAAGTGATTGAAATAATTATTTAACAAAAAAATTTTTTAAATAAAAAGGTGCGAAAAATTTTGTTAGCAAAAATTAATTAATCAATTCGGCGAATAAAATTAAAAAAAACATTTATGTATATAACAATATACATAAACTTATACTTTTTTTATTTAGAAACCAATTCTTCAATTGCAATTAAATAGACATAAATTAAAAATAATTTATGAACGAAAAATTAATTTAATTAGCAGAAGGAATGTTTAAAATAATTTTTAAAAAATATTCTAAAGTAGTTTACGTCAAAACATTGTATTTCTTTTGTTAAATTAACACTCTTGATTCAAGAAAATCAAGTTTGTTTGACATTTCTGCAAATAAGGGTGTTAGGAATGCTTAAGGAGCCCGATATCTCATTTTGGTGAAATTACTTAAAAAAATTTCGTCCTAATAAAGTATCAACTGCTTCATAATGTACTTACAGATCTTATTTCTCTCTCCATTTCTTTTGTAAAAAGTTTTGACTTTTGAACTTAAATGATTTTGCAATTGAATGATTTTGGACAAGTTTATGATCAATTAAATTATCCTGAAGATATGATTTTATAATTCTTCATATGTTCGGACTCGTTATTTTTCTATCAGGGGCGGGGATTAATAAAGTACCACAAAATTAAAAATTTTAAGGTTTTTCAAAAAAAATATTGAAAATGTTTGATAAAAAATCAAATTTTTATAAAAAAAATCCCAAAATATGTGACGAAATCACAAAAACAGCTCAACCCAAAAAATTCTTACTAAAAATTACAAGAAATTTCAAACTTGCAAAAACTTTTACTTTAATATTATTAAAAATCATAGGTTAAACATTAAAAGCAAAAATCTTAAAAGATTACAATTAACAAATATTGAAAGCGTAATCATGTAATCGCTGAGATTTAAAAAAATTAGAACATTATTAAAAATAAATTATTAAGCATTAAAATAGTAGTTATTTGCGACCCATATTAGGCACCATTTTAAGCGATATTTCCATCATAAGCAACACAAATTAACAAGTGATCTGCCATTTCTTTATATTCAGCTTCAAATTCCTTCCACTCATTACTAGCCAAAAATTTCTTTCGATTAGCAGAAATGAAATCAACACAAGCCTGTAAATTAATTTTCATTTATATTTTCAAATTCAGAAGAATCTCGACATAAATAGAGGATTAAAATAAGTTTGAAAAAAACCGAAAATATGAAAATCCAAATAAACTAGAATCTCTAATTTTAAAAAGATTTTCACTACTCAAAATTTAGCTCGAGCTTTACAGCCGAGATCTACTAAAAAAATTAAATCTTTGGAAAAATAAACCTACCCTTTCAACCATAGGAAGACCGTGTACTCCAGCATAAAGGAAGCGTTTCCCGAAGTTCTTAGCATCTAATGAAAAATTATTTTTAATAAAATGTGCAAATGATAACAAAAAAGATAGCTCTCAAAAAGTTAAACAAATTTTTGAAAATGAGAATAATTTATTTACCAATTCCCGAAGCCATAAATCGTTCACAAACTTGCTTTAACGGCAAAACTTGATATTTTTCAGCAATTGCAAATAATTCTTCGGGAAATTTTTCCAGAGAAACTATTAAAAGTTAAATTTAAAAAATTGTAAAAAAATACCTTTATCAACATCACCACTGTAGAAATATTTAATCATTGAAAGAAAGCATTCATAAGAAGAATCAACAATATTGATTTCACCCTTAATTTTTTTGTCATTTTTAAACTAAAAACCCTACATGGAAATCACCCAGATGACGAGAAAACAATGCTTATTATATACCCGTCCACAGATGCGAACCCCTTGTTGCCCGCATCTGTGGACAGCTTCAAAACAAAGAAACCTTAAAAACCCCGTTCCGGCATAATATTCGGTTTTACATTAAAATTTTAGAATAAAATCAATAATTTATCAATTGTAAAAATATACATTTTGCGCCTCGAGCATCCCATCTTGTTCAAACATTCTTAAGAATACTTCACTATTCTGCGCCAAAATACAACGATGAGCGTTTATTTTCTGATTCTCAATCTGAAAAAATATAGCCAGCCATCAATAGTGATTTATTATTAGAATTATATATAGGATAGAAATATTTTAAGTTTTCAGTTTTATGTATAAGCCAACCCAAATTTATAAGGAAGTATTTTTATAGCGGTCGGAAATCATTAAAATTTTATTATTTTGAAATTACTAACGTTAACAACACAATCAGTAAGTGTTTCCTGTTCAAACATGTTACTCATTAATTCTTTAAAATTAGTTGACGAAAAATTGCCAATATCATTAAATGCACATTTCAACTTTCGACTGCGTTTCAAATTTTGAGGCAAAAATCGAATTTCACAAACAAGCAACACAGAGCCTAAAAAGTTTATTAAAATTTTGGTTGTCCTTAGAAATGAATTACCATCTGTATGTGTCAATCTTTCCATATCAATTTTATGTCTCCAAGTTTCTTTGTAGCGAATAAAATCGTGTGACATAACTCTTTCACTAAAATTAACAATTTGGAATAAATCGACTACAACTTACGGACAAATATCGACACGTTCTCCTCTAGCATCCAAAGCATATAACTCAAATTTTACTTTCAGCGCTTGCTTCACTTGTACAATTGTAGCATAATTATTAGAGTAGTATAAATAAACTCGCAACTCCCACGCAGCTGAACGATATTGTGGATGGTAAAACTTCTTACCTACATATTTATGAAATTAGAAATTTAAAATAAAAATTAACTCGAGAAGCACTTTTCGTTTGGCGAATACTCTCTATATGTATGTAAATCGTTTAATTTCCATTCAATTTTACAAGTAACTATCTCAGCCTGAGAATTATGTAATAATTATTTAATTATTCAAAAAATACCTTATTGAGGACGTCTGCAGACGACATTGTTCTAAATGAAAAATAAGGCCCTATGCCAAAAGAAGGGCGGAATCGTTTTTTTCATTACTTGCAAGGAAAGGAAAAAGGAGACGGATGGACACGGACAGACAAAACACACACACGCACCGTCCGTGTTTTGTCTGTCCGAGTCCATCCGTTTCCATTTTTCCTTTCCATTTTTCTTAATTTTTCCTTTCCTTGCAAGTAATGAAAAAAAAACAAATCCACCCTTCTTTTGGGATAGGGTCAAAAATAATTTGTAAATCGGTGAAGGATTTTAATAATTTAATTGTACTGAATATGTTCCTGAAAAATAAAAAATGAACGAAATTATAGGACAAAATCACCCAGAAAGAGCTCAGATTTTTAAAAATTTAAACTAAGATTCCCTCATTCATTGGTTCCTAGAAAACGAGCGAAAAAAAACTGCCAAAATTAGACCAATTCTGCAAAATTGTGAAAAAAATATGAGACTGCAGTGTTCCTTTAAATTTTATTACATTGCGGGTAGGGGACGATTCAGTATCGCCGATTCAGTATTGGCCGATTCAGTATTTGGCTTTTTTGGCCATAACTTTTTGCTCGATCAATATTGTGGGAATTATTATATATGATTTGATAGGCCTCGGGGTGCTGCATCTTTTTCATAATTGGACTGACCTGATCTGATCACTCTACAAAAAGTTATCACTGATAAACGACGTCACAGGCATAAAGAATCGGTTTTCACGCTGTAACTTTTTTTGTGATCATCAGATCTGATCGGGCCAATTATGAAAAAGATGTCGAATCTCGAGACCTTTCGAATGATATGAGAATTATTCAAATCGGTCGAATATCAGGAAAGTTATGGCCATATACTGAATCGGCGGATACTGAATCGGCGATACTGAATCGGCTATACTGAATCGGCGATACTGAATCGCCGTTACATTGCGGTATTTTTGAGTCCAGTGCTTTTACGAATTTCTTTCTCCTTAATTTTTCAATAATTATTTTGTTTTTAGTTAAAGCATTTAATTTTGACAAATTTTAGACTATTTTTAATTAACATTCGTGATTTTGGCTTCTTAAATTAGGTCATTTTTCACTATATTTTATATTGGAGATTGTTCTTTCTATATTTCGTCCTTCAATTAATTATTTTATTGTCTTTGATGGATGATCTACAACCGCAGGTAATTTATTTTATTTAAACTCTATTATGAAAGTTATTTGTTAGCAAATTATCATTTTAGGTATCGCTAATTTTAATAAAATTATTGCTTATTGAAAATTCCTTCAAAACTTTTTTTAAATTTATTTTTTAAATTTTGTCTTTAAAGGATGATGAAAATGTAATGGAAGAAGAGGATACATTAGTTTTGCGAATGGAAGCCATGATGTTGGCAGAGGATCAAGAAGACCGTCTTTCTTTTGCGGTTAGTATTTATTAATTTTTTAAATTAAAAAATTATTAAAGGACTCTGAAAGGTTTGATGAGGATGATGAGCAATATTCTGTACAGGCAAGCGATTCAAGTTCAGTAAGTCATCACTGGAGAGGATGGGACTCATCTTTGGCCAAAATGGGCCAAGGTTATTTTTTTTCTTTTGTTATGCGGGCTCGTATAAGTTTTTTTCCATTTGTATGAACATCTTTCAGGAAGGAAAATGAGGGCCCACCTTTACTATGTATTAATTAGTTTTCAGATTTCTCTTATTATTAGCTTATTTAATATTCCTCCATTTTCTTTACACTGAATTTCCTATTTAATATTTTTTCAGGTTTTGTAACTAAACCTTTCCTTATTGCTGATAGTTCGGCACTCGATGCTGCAGATTTTATGGAAGGTTGTTTCTTAATTTTTTTTCTCTCTCTGAAAGGTTTGAATAAAACTAAATAAGTTTTATTCGACAAACTTATGTTTTCGAGTATTTTTTTGAAAGGATCTGTTATTGATTTTACGTTAAATTTTCATAGATATCCCATCACTCAAGGATTTGGCTGCAAAACGTGTTGCTTCCTCCATTTCATTCGAACTTATTGAGGCTACTTATTCTCAACTTCCTACTGCACAGAAACGACTTCGGCCTCAACTTCCAAAAGAAAATATTGAACACATTGGACAACAACAGCACTTGCAAGATTATTTACCCGAACAATTGGTACTTCTTATTTTAAGACATTGCTTTCCCGAATCGTCAGAGAATATTCGACTTTACAGGTTTTTAATTTAATAAATTATTTAATATTTTTCTAACATTTCCAGCTGTTTAACTAATTGTGGCGATCGTTTATTTGCCTTGGGTGAAAACCTTTTTAAGAGCGGAGCTGTCTCCAAACTTTTCCAAATTGGTTTTAAGTTTTATAGAATAATATCTAAATTTTAATTAAAAAGGTTGTCATTTATCTGCTAAAGTACAAGAACGCTTTGGATTAAATAATACTGGCAGCGGTTTAAGTGGCGAATCTTTAAGTAAATTGTACATTTCAAAAGAAGCATCCGAAAATAACGTCAAAACTTTTGATGTTTGCATTCTTGTTGATCGCTGTCGGATTGTTTCCTGCGCTTGCTCTTGTTCAAATACCTCGTTTTGGTGTCAACATGCTGTTGCTGCCTGCCTTCAACGTATTCAGCAGCCCAATACAGTGCAATATAGACCTGCAATTTGGGATTCTATTACATCTTTGCGTGATATACAAGCGAAAAAAATGGTTCAATGTTTGATAAATAAACTTCCTCGAGAGGTTAATTACAAATAGTTTTATTAATATTTTAACAATTTTAGTACATTCCCGTGGCTCAGGAACTAATTGACGCTCTAAAAGACAATAATTCTCTGATTAATCAAATTCAAGGTGCACCAGATCCAACTGTGAGTGGCCCTAAAAATCTTAAAAATATTTTTGGTTTATCTTTACAGGCCGGACCGACTGATGATACTCCTGCGGTTTGGTGTATGGACGAGAAAGCATTGCACGAAGAAGTTAGAAAAACTCTCATTAATTTTATGCGTCCGTCTGCCATGGTTTGGTATGTCGTTTAACATTAAAAAATATTCTTTTAATTTGTTTGAATCGAATTATGTAGCTTTCATAACTAATAAATTCTTTAGTGAGGTACAAAGTTTGTTGTCTTCTCCACCTGCTTTGGCTTACGAATGGAGTATTCTTTACAGAACCTTATGTGCAAAACAACCAGAATCTATTTGGAATCTGCTTGGAATGGTTGTATTTACATTTTAAACATTTAATTTGTTTTTAAGGTTCGGGTAATGCTAACACGTAATGATGCAAATGGTCCTGCATTGCTTCATATACTTACTGAAGAATGTTTAGCACTTGATTCTGTTCTTATCCGATGGTATCAGATCTCGCTTTCTGCAAGTGGACACTGGTACTTGATTGGCCCTAATGGTGGAAGTAGTGGACAACGCGCAAATGGTAATGCACAACAAAGCCAGTCACGCCAACTGTTAGTAAATTTTTTAATTTATGGTTGATAGTTTTCTTTTTAGCCTTTGCTATTTGCTTTGTCAAGAGTTGGCTGTAATTTTTCTATTTTTTTTAACTTAACAAGAATTATTTTTAGTCTCTTTGGCGACTTATTGCTTTAAATCCGCGACTAACTATTGAAGAAAGGGAGCAGCTTTGGGTGTTACTACAGCTCTACCAGAGAACGTCTGTTATGCGTATTTGGACAATTCTTGGGAAGGCTACTTCTACTGAAAATGTTTGTAGAAATATTTTTAATCTATTATATAAAATTCAGTATGTTTTTGGGACCGCCATGGATGCTCGTGGTAATCGTCTTTGCCAACAAAATGCTCCATTTGGACGTAATTTCTTCCCGGCATTTTTTCCTGCCTTAAGGGCATGTAAGCAGTTTAGTTGGACGCGATCTGAAGCTCATAGATTGTTGCGAGAAATGAATGTGTGTCCTCGTTTAAGTACTGACATACAGGCAAGCAATTTCATAAGTCGAGATATTTGTTTTTAAATTCATCTGTTTTTGTTTCAGATAGCTCAAAAACAACACGGTCGCTTCCCAACCCTGCCTTTCTTGCGTGAAGCAGATAATGGAATTACACTTATTGATTTAGTGGAAATGGAGCGCCAATTGGGCAATTCATCAATTGCTTACAATCCAGATGCCGTTCTGGTTCCATCATCGAAATCATCCAAAAGACGAAAGAAACACAAAAAAGCACAGCAGCGTCAAAAACTGCAAAAATTGGGAATGAACAATGAAAGTACTAACAGGAAGCGGCGAGAACGCCAACAACCTTCGGAACAAGATGTAAAAGAGGATCTAAAAAATAATCAAGAACAAGTCAGCGAAATCAGTAGTGATGAAGAAAATCAGAAGCCTGAATGTAGTAAATCTGATCCACCAAAAAGGTTTTATTTGTTTTAAATTTTTATTTGGGAAAATACATATAAATTTTTAAGAGAGCAATATGAAGATGCTTTAGATAGACTTTTTGCTGAAGCACATGCTGACTTCGATGATCCATTTACTCTTCGTTTTATGTATTGTGAGGCTCTTTTTGCACATGGCTACTTCAATGAATCTTTACAATTTGCTAATATTTTGTCTGTAAATTTGATAAATAATCAACCAAACTTGTTACTCTCAATTGGAGTGACTGATTTACAACTTATGAAGAGTAATGAAGATGAGGCAGCAGAGCGGAAGACTAACGATAAATTGATAGCAAAGGTTTATTAAACTGAAATTTAAAACTGAAAAGTATGCTGAAATTTAAATTTTAGCCTTTTTCCTCTGTTCCACACTCCATTCGTCAGTCACATTTTCGTCGCCAGTTTAGTTCTGATTCAATTCGGCGCACTGAGACCAATGAAATTTACTCTAATTCAACACTTGCACGTCTCACAATCAGTCGTGCTCATCCTCGTTTGATGGCTAATTCAACTAATGCAAAAGATACATTAACTAAGACAATCTTTCTTGTTAAATTGTTAATGCTTGGAGAAGAGTTTTTTGATCGTAAAATGAAAAGATTTTCACGACAACATATTGCAACGACTCATAAAGCAGATAACCCAAAAGAAACTTCTAAAAGTGCGAATAGTTCAGTACAAGGAGAGTATCGCCTCTTAGCTTTAGAACTATGCCTGGCTACCATGCGAAATTTGCGTGGGCCATCTGCTACTCGTTTGCTAGAAATGGAGATTAACCAATTGGAAGGCGATTTATTTACATTATTGCATAGAATTGAGATTTGCCCTAACGGTTTGAAAATTGTACGCTCTCTAGCACAACAATTACTCAAAAATCTGGTAAAAATTTTTCGATTTATTTTGTAGTTAAGTTTTTTTAGGCAGTTGACAGCTTACCTACTAGTGTTACTGTTCCACCCACACGTTTGGCGCACTATATTGTAAATGTTCTTTCTTCCCCTTATTCTCCTTACCAACAACAACATCTACGAAATGCGGCACAACTTAGTGGTGGAGTTGATGCTTGGTAGAATTTTAAAACATAATTTATTCTATTCTTACTCTATCTACTTGTTCTATTTTAGTCAAATACTGCTCCCACGTTTTCAATCGGATTTATTCACCTATCGATTAGAGTCTGATGAACAATTGGCACTTGACCTTGCTCTTCAAGTGTTAAGCATGGGTTCGTCAGCTTTGATAATTTAAAATCATTCTTGTTATTTAAATTATTTGATAAACAGATTAGTTTTTTTCAGATGTGCATATTTCTGAACGTGACCATCCACTTTTGTGTGAATGTATCCGACGTCATCGTAAAGACTTACAGATGGTGCTTTTCACTAGAAATAGGGACTCACCTGAACGATTAGCTCGAGTATTGACCACTGCACTTGATGAGAAAGTGCATCGCATTTATGAGTGAGTTTTGTTATTATCATTCTATATTATAATTTATCTTCTTTTAGAGAATCTAACCGTTCTAATGTGGATTTCTTTTCATCTTCCGCTACAATTACAAACTCAAAGCCGCGCCCTTCTTCTCCACCTGATCAACAACAGGGATTATTCAACAAAAAACAACCTCTGTTATCGATTGGCTCTTTAACTGGCGTTTTCAGTTCCATTCAATCATCATCCAGTGCCACTTCTACAGCCACATCTCCTAGCAGTTCACCATTCGATTTGGGTATTGGACAACAACAAATTTCAGGAGACAGGTCCTTACACATTCACATCAGTATTTATTGTTTTATGAATTCTAAAAATTTCAGATTTTTCCCTTCAACTCGTTCTTCGATTTCTAAACCTTTTCCAATGCTAGCGAATCAAGCTAGCGAGGCACAGGCTCACCATATGTTTGAATTTGCTAAAGCTCTACTTTTAGAAGCTGGTGGAAATCAGAGTAGTCCCATGTTCAATCCAGTTCAAGCTATGGCTGCAGCTGCTTTAGGTGCTGCTGCTTTTCTTGGTGGTGCGGGAGCTCCTCAAATTGGTCCTCATCGTAATTTACACATTTGTTCGTTGTTGATTGCATTATATGCCTTGGGATTAAACAATGAATGCTCTCCTTCATGGAATACGCGTACCTATTCTACGCATGTTTCTTGGATTCAAGCACAGGCGTTAGATATTGGTACTATAATTTTAATGATTCTTTTAATTTTTTTGTTTTTATCCTTTTTAAGGTCGTCAAGCTTTGGAAATCATTCGCCGTACCTGGCACAAGCATTTAACTCCAACTGAGGTTGCATCTCTCGCCGATAAAGCCAGTCAAAGTAGTGACTTGTCTGTTGTTGAAGAAGCGGCTCAGCTTGCTCTGAGCGTTCTTCCTGAGGCTAATTCTCTTTTGCCTGCGGAGAGTCTCAAAGCACTAAATCAATGTAAAGAACGTTCGCCTCGAATGCTAGAGGATGCTTGCCTGGCTGTAGAAAAATCTACACAACGAGGCGGTGTCTATCCAGAGGTTTTTATTTTGTAATTATTGTAACATTTCTTGTAAAGGTACTCTTTCGTGTTTCTCATCATTGGTATAATCTCTATGTTGCACATCTTGCGGAGTTGGAAGGGAGTGTTATTGGTGAGCCACCGTCTTCAAATGTTTCTTTAAACACCAATAAATCAACTCAAAAGAACAATCTTAATTCTTTTCCTCATCAACAACAATATTATCTCCATCATCAGTCACCTCCTCAAATTCCTTTCTTCCATTCTTTACAGACAACTGACATCAAAAATACCTTCGTGGGGTCGACACAACAACCTGTCACTTCTGCTTCAACCTGGCAGCCTGTTGTAACACAACATCAGCCAACATTGCAGTTCTGCATTGGTATTGTCACTGTTTTAATATTAAAAAATTTATGCTTGGTACTAACATGTCATGCTGTGAAAAAACTCACTGGATGGAATGAACATTTAAGAGCCCAGATCGAAGCACAACCGACTAATTCATTAATATTCTACAAGTGTGGATTTTTTGCTCGACCTCCACGCTTTTCCCCATTTCAGAGTACCTTGACGTTTTGTATATCTAGGGGAAAAATACAAGAGGAAAATATTGAGCGTTAAAAGTACTGTTTGCTTTTAATAAATAAATAGACTTTGACCTTATTTATAGTGCCTCCGACAGCACCACCGCTTTACTTGATGCCACCGCATCTTCCTCCACCTCCATTTTATTCGCCTTCAATTCCTCCTCCTCCGTTGCCACAAGTTGCTGCACCGGCTGCAATTTTAACTAATGACAGTTCAACCTCTTCAACAAACAACAATTCGAATACTTTATTTCGTCTTCATCCGAGTTTTTCTGTTCCAAATATGGCTGGAGAAATTCAACAACAATCCAATAATATTTTACCAGCCACTGCTTGGGTTCAAGTACCTTTGCAACAACAAATTGCACAATCACAACCAACAACATCTGCTGTTCATCCAGTTGATTATGCTCCATCAATGAATCAGTCAATTCAGCAAAATTTTGTTCCTACAGGATTAAACCTCCGAATGCTTCCATCTATACACCAGCATGCAAATCAACATCAATTTGCGTCTAGTGCTGGTGCTGTTACTATGATTCAGAATCAACTTCAGCAACAACAACTTGTTGCAATTCAACAATTTAATCAACAGCAGCAAAATCGAGGGTTTCATCAAGTTTGTTTTTGAAATTATTTTCCATTATCTTTTTATTTCTAAAGTTTTCAAATTTCTGCTCTTTTTTAGTTAAATTTTCAACATCGTTTTCCTCCACCTCCAACAACTATGACAACTGGTCGCTTGGTTGTTTTGGATGATAGGGCTCTTTATCTTATACACAATGCACATCGTCTTGGTATTATGGCCATGAATAATTTGCGCAGTTCAGATAGCCTTTCTGCAAAATTTGCCAAGGTATTATTGATATTAAAAACAAAATTGTTAAAATTTAATTGGGTGGCGTGAAATTTGCAGATTGGCAATTGAGTAAAAAGAATAATAAAGATCTTATTAGATTTTTGTTAGAATAACCAAGATAGAATTAGAACATAAAATTTTTAAAACCTGTCTCTTCCGACTATACTATAACTTGGATCAAATGCGTTCGATAACGGGTCGGTTTTGATTTTTATTTTTTACTCAAGTGTCGATCTACAAAATTCGCTTTCGCACATTTGAATCCGCAAAGTCAGGTTTATCTATTCTAGAATCCTCCATCGTGTGACGATGTTTGTTGGCTATTGGATGTTTCTATTGAGATTGGCGATCCTGAATATGTTCGGATGTTTTGCGAAAAAGTGATTGCTTCAATTAGCTCGCCATTTGTGCTTATTGAACTTTTTAAGAGTATTTTAAAGGTTGGTAATTCTTTTTATGATTTAATTCATAAAAACTTCAGTTCTTCCATCAATTACCAAATTCACATCGAATCCCTGGCACAGGTCAAATTGAGGCTATTCTTTTGTCATCAAATGGAGATCTGGCAAAATTATGTATGCAGCAGGCAAGGAATGCAATGACCCAACATTCAATGTCAGGAATTGCTGTTGAATTGGCTCTTCATGCTATTTCGACTGCATTTTCTGCAGCATCTCATAAACTGAACTTTAATAATTTTAATGCACCTGACCAAGAATATGTGAGTTTAAATATTTTATTAAATTTAAAATAAATATTTTTGAAGGTTTGTGATTTGGCTTTGATTACTCGTGAATTATTTCGTTTATTACCTCCTACAAGCCATCATGATCAACAACAACCACAGGGACGAAGAAAATATATGGATATTTTTATGGAGCATATGCAGAAACAGAAATGTTTTAGAAAGTTCAAAAATGTCCAAACCGCTATACAAAATGCTTTACAGCAACAACATCAACAACAAAGACTTGCATCACAACAACAAGTTGTTGTAGATGATCAACAGCAACATCAATTAAGAATTAGAGGAGGTAATGGCCAACAGCATTATCACTCTCATTTGCCACCTAACAATAACAGCTAATTTTGTGTGGAAGGATAACATAAAAATTATAAGATTTTTGTGTTTTTATTTATGGTAAATTTAAATTTTTTTTTGTTTTTTCTTTAAAATAACATCAACTTTTTATTTTAATGTATTATAAAATCTTCTTTTAAAATTCATCGATTTTATATTTGACAATTTATGTAAATTTATTTGCTTTTTTCTTTTTTTTTGATTAAAATTTGGCAATTACATCGATTTTATTTAATTTCTATTTTTTATCTGTCAGAAACTCCGTACATAAAATAAATATAATTATCAAGTTTTTTGAGATAAAAATATAAAAATCATAATCGTAAAAACAACAGACTAATTTTTAAATATTTCCACTTAAAAATATAAAACAAAAAATTTCATTTCGAATCTTCTAATTTTTAAATGTTTTTGTAATTGGCATGATATTTTGTATATGGTTTTTCGTTTAAAGCAACAATTTTAAAAAACCTCATTAAATATATTATTGTATTTAAATTCATAAAATTTCAAGTTCAATTAAATTTTGTATTACTCTGTTAATTCTTTATTTCCCTTAAAATTAAATTATAATTATGTATGTGTTTATAAAACACCAAGTATTAAAAACAAAAAAACACCAATATCTTCAAAATTTGTAAATTTTGAAGAGTCTCATTAAAAAAGAATTAAAGTTTATTCGAAAAGGGAATTTAGTGACCAAGGAAAGTTTACTTGTTTAAAGAAAACGAATGCTAAAACTAAAACCCTTTGTTTCGTTATACAATTTACCTTTCTTTACTAAAATTTTTTAAAAGTTTTTAAATTTTTAAATTATAAATATTCGTCACTAAAAACAAAATAAATTTAAAAATTTATTTTATGTTTGCAACTTTTTTTTAAAATATTTTTCTGTAAAATATTTGCATAAATGTTTATTTTTCTTTTTTTGTTTACTTATAAATTCAAAAAAAATTCAAAATAATAATAAAACTATAAATGAGAATTTACATAAAAATTTTTCCGACTCACATGAAAATACTATAGAAATATTTTTTATTTTAAAGCGGTCTAGACATTAAAATCTTTTTCTTAAAATTAATTATTTTTTCAACTTAAAAAAATTTGAACTATAGTACTTATCATATGTAGGTCGATCGAAATTTCGGGTTCTGACATTTTTTCGCTTCCGATCTCCAAAATTTTGATAAACTTGAAATAATTTTTGAAGCATTATTCTGACAGAAAATTTTGGCCAAAATTTTCAAAATTCGCCTGTGGCTCTAAAAATGGAAGAAATCAGCTTCTTGAACTCTAAACTTCTCAAAATTTCTACTGTTTTAATTTTTCTGTTTTGACTTAAGTTTAATTTCAAAATTAAGAAGGATTAAATGGGATATGTGTGGATTTGGGGGGACAAAGGAATATTTAAGGATTTGGACGTAATATCGGGTATTATAAGGGGTTAAAGAGTACATCTATAATTTGGAGGTTATTTCCAACCGACCCCTGGATAATTAAAAAAAAGAATTTTTTAAATCAATTTATTTTTATTTTTCAAGTCAAAAATAGTAATAAAACCCGCTTTTTACTCTCCCCATATATACACTTTATTTTTACCCAAATAAAGCATTTACTTAGCTTTTAGTCAGCCATTTGCTTTTTTGCTTACTTCTTTGCTTTTATTTTTTTCTTGGGAAATTTTGTAGCTGTAAATTTTTGTTGTAAAATTAAGTATAAATACTTTAAGTATTTTAAATAAATTAATTTAAATTAAAAAAATTAAAATTTATCATTTCAACAAAAATACCTAAATTAATAATTAAAGTACTTTCACGCCCACTTTTAATTAAATTTTTATAAACAGATTAAGGTCTATATAAATTTTTTATTTATTTACAAGTAAAAGTTTAGTTCAAAATTTTGTCTAGTCATATATTTTATATTATAAAAATAAATATTTTTAATTTTTATTTAAATATAAATTGACTTTTTAAAAGCTTTTTTTCATTTCCTTATTTTGTTAGCCATTAAAAATAAAAAATATTCTTGGCTTCCCCCCATTTGTCCACTACTGTGCAAACTGTGCTAAAATAATAAAAACAACCTTGTTATTTCTCTCAATTTAATATATTTTAGAGTTTAGCGCTAAATAACTGGCAATAAATTTTTCTTTTATTTGTAGTTAAGAAAGAAATAATTATTTTATTTATTATAGTTACTTAACTAAATAATTTAAATTATATAAAATATTGGAGGGTTTCAATAAAATAATTTATGCTATAGTTAATAGAGTTTATTTGGTCTTGACTGGTTAACAGGGATGGGGTAAATTATCCGATACCCTACCTAGTATATCCGAACTTTTTTCGATCCGAAATTTGTCCAGAGAAAATTTACAAAACGCAACCCTACTTTTTTTTCAACCCATCCCTATCTTAAGTATTAAAAGAAGCTTTTATTTATTTAATAATTTTGTATATACTTGCATATATTTTTTTAACGAAAATTTTATTTTAATTTTTGTTAAATTAAATATACGTATTTAAATTATTTTTTATGGCCAAGCTTACACTAGCACTCAATTAAAAATGTGAGAGAAAAGTGTGTAGAGTGGCCGTTGGTCGTCAATATATTAAATATAACATACATTTTATATACATATTCTTAAATTTAATAAAACCAAATTTTTCTTTTTTTAATTTATTTTTTTCCTTAAGCAGTGACTAATTCTGGTTATAAGTAAGTATAAGAATTCTCAACACAATATTTTCATTAAATATTGCCAAATTTTCTGTACATTTTTTAATTTCTTTAATATGTACTTGTAATTTACTCTTTAAAATTAGAGTTGATCAAAACGATACTGGTATCGGCCAAGCCGAGACCGAGATTGACCGATACTCAAGAACCCGATACCGAGACCGATACCATCATTTTGAGCCGAGACCGATACCGAGAAACGATACTCACCGAGATTAACAAAATTTTTTATTTTATGTTAAAAAATACGTGTAAAAATAATTTATTCATTATTTTCATCATCCAAATCATAGAGATAAATACTCTTCGTATCTGGATCCGATCTGGCTTGGCAATGGATACTAATTTTTGTGTCCGTATCCGAATAGGTGTATCCGTGAGGTCGACATCCGTATTCGATTATATCCTTACAACTTTTGAGGCATATCCGCGGATGGCCGAAGTGAAAATTTCGGTTTACCAAACCATTATTTCAGCGCCGCTGGCAAAAATTTTTAGAATTTTAGAAGTTGCCGAAAATCGGAAGACTATGTAATCAAAATCTTGAAAATCTAACGACCGAGGGCTCGGAAAATTCAACATTTCAGCGCCGCAGAGAGAAAAACCGAGACCGATATTGGAAAAAAGCCGAGAATCTCGGTATCGGTCTCGGTCTCGTCTTGACAACTCTATTTAAAATACATGCTTACTCTTTTCTAATTTTTAATTAAAATATTAAATAATTATTTTAAAAATTATTTTTAATTAAAAAAAGTACACTTTTTGCAAAACTTCCTTTTCCCTTTTAAATATAAAAATATATTTTGGCCGACTGTCAGATTAAATCTTCTAAATATTTATTCACACACACATAAATTTCTGCCAATATTTTTTTATCTTTTTTTCATCACAAAAATTTTAAATAAAAATTTTAAAGTTTTATTTTTTATTTCATCATTCTTTAATTTATTTCTTGTCCTTTAATATATTAAAAAGCGTAAACAACTTTGGTTGTTGACGAATATAATTTTTTTATTTTTTAAATATAAATATTTTTATATAAGAAAAATATTTTTTAATGAAAATATTTATATATTAATTAAAAAACTAAATATTTTTTATATTAATAGCTGTTTAAATCCTCCTTGATTTTTCAATTTTTATAAAATACGTGTTTTTGATATTTCATATTTAAAAAAATAAAATTCGAGAAATTAAGAAAGAAATTTTTCGGTTTATATAAAAATAAGTTATCCCTATTGATCTCCACATTTTTAATTTAAAATTCTGAGAATCTGAGAGAGAGAGAGAGGTTATTTAAGTTTGATGGGCATTTAAATTTTTATTCAACTTATTTAAATTTAAATATTTTTGCAGAATTAGCCCTCACATTTTTGCTCTTAAAATAATTTTCACGTGCGCATCCCTCTCTCCTTATTTTATTTTTTTTAATTTTTCTTTATATATTCAGGCCAAAATATCAACAAATAAGAGGCTCTTAAATTAAGCAGAAATTTTTATTTTTTGGTTTTCGATGTTTTGACCAAAAATATTTAAAAGGGTGGAGGAAATACAAAACACAAAAAATTAAACTACATTTTGAAAAGCCAAAATTTTCTTTGGATTTTTTTTGTTTGGATAGAGAAAAAATCAAATTAAAAGAAAGAAGAGGAAAATGAAGGAAAAATTTTTTTTGAGAGTCCCCATCCCCCCCCCTCCTCTCTCCCTCTCTCCCTCCCTCCCATCATCCCTCCCTCCCCTCCCTCCCTCCCTCCCTCCCTCCCTCCTTTCCCTTTCCTTTATCCTCCTCATCCCCTCTAAACACCTCTAAATAAAATGCTAATTTTATTTAGGGATTCTCTCATCCCTCAATTTAATTCTTGTTTTTTTAAAAATATAAAGAAGTTAAAGGCCAATAAACATTTATTTAAATTATCCGGCAAAAATATCCAAATTTTGGATTTACTTTTTAAGTACCTTCCAAAAAATCTTTTAATTATTTTCTTCTCCCAACCCAAATTATTATTATTTTTTAAAAATAATTCTAAAAATATTCTTTTTTTCCTCAAAATTTCATGTTTTTATTTAATTTAGTCTTTGGCCTTTACGGCAATTTTTAAAACAATTTTTTGCAATATTTACTAAAAAAATTTGTTTCGAGCACTTTTGTTGGTCTTTGGCTTTTTCTTTCAATAAATAAATTCTCTCCTCTCTTTTTATAAATTTCCCTCATTTTTTCCATTTATTTACCCACAATTTTTATTTTTTATTCTCTTCAACTCAAT